ATAAGTCAGTGAAAGTGCACCCTACGCTTTTAGGGCGCACTTTCACTGGCTTGTTGAAAGGAGCGCTGATTTAGCGCTCCTTTCAGAGGCACCGACGGTGCGCCTCGGTGCGGATGCCGCGATCCCGCGGCACTCCGTCCCAGGGCATCCCGGATGCCCTCGTCTGCTTCCCCCCTTGGCTTCCAGAAAGAGTTCAGACTTGATTTGTTCTAAGACCCATTTGTTTGTCTTTTTGCTGTCATGGTATCCTCAGCACTCTTCTCCAACACCACATCTCAAATGAATTAATTTTCTTCCTATCTTATTTCTTCACTGTCCAGCTCTCACATCTGTACATGGTAATGGGGAATACAATGGCTTGGATGATTCTAACTTTAGCATTCAGCTGTATATCTTTACACTCTAGGATTATTCTAGTTCTTTTACAGCTGCCCTTCCCATTCCTAATCTTGTTCTGATTTGTGAAGTCAAAGGCCAGCATCCATAATTTTTTGTGGGTTTGTCAGGTTATGTAGCCATGTTCTGGAAGAATTTATCCCTTATGTTTAACCTGCTGTTCTGGAAGAATTTATCCCTGACATCTCTACCTCTGAAGATGCCAGTCAGAGGTGCAGGCGAAATGTCAGGCATAAATTCTTCCAGAACATGCCCACATAGCCTGAAACACCCCCTAAAAAAACAAAAACAAAAAACTCTTCTGATTTCTTGACTGCAGTTTCCATTCTGATCCATGTTTGATCCAAGGTATAGGAAATGTTTAACTATTTCTATTTCCTTGTTATCCAGGTTGAATTTATGTAAATCCTCTGTGATCATTATTTTCTTTCCTTTAAGTTTAATATTAGGCTTACCTTTGCACTTTCATCTTTGACTTTCTTTAGTGATTGTTCTGAGTCAGAAATGATTGAGAGACAGAAACCCCAATATTTCACACTGAAAAGTTGAGAATTTCAGCACTGACAATAACAGGCCAACAACTAACACCATTCCAGCTAATTTCTCTTACTACTTTAAAAGCAACTAGTTACAAGTAGCATTTTACTACAAAGCTCTAGTTCCCACTTCAATAATGTACTTCCATATTTCTGGAGACTTCTTGAGAAATCCATTGTCCTCTGCCTACAAAGAGGCCTGCAGCCTCACATGAACAGAGACACATTGGACTGCACGAGAGGAATTCTTGTTGAGATGCACATGGACTTTAAATTTCCTGGATTTTGAAAATCTCCCAATTGACACATGGCCAGAAGGAGGAGGAGCCAGCCTGCAAAAGATACTCTCCCCATACCATCTTAACTAAGGACAGAAACAATATAATGCAGGCATCTGACTAACATCTCCAATTGTTTTTCTCCTGTTTGGTTTGTAACATCTTGCCTGATGAAGAAGCCAGTGGAACTTTGAAATCTTGCAACAAGTATATTGTGCATTTTGGTTGGCCAATAAGGGTATCACTGTTTGGTGGATTTTTGTTTGAATTCTATATTTCTGTTTCTTTTGCTTTCCCCTGACCCTAGCACAAACTCTTTCTGCTCAATATCCTCTCTGGACTCTTTGCCCACCTGCTTTCCTTTATATCTTTCATATATATAAATTTTCATATATTTTTTCAGTACATGACACTGTCATATACTGATTCGGAACATGTTCATAAAAGACTGCTGTGAACCTAAAAATAAAATAAATATAGATTTTTAAAAGAAGTTTAAAAAGAAGTTAACCATGATTGGAAACATATAGAAATGAATATGTAGTGTTAACTGGGGATGAGCGATAATTTTACTTCATTCTATGTATAAGAATTTACCAGAATTCACACATTTCTTCATATTCAGGATTGAAAGAATTTGAAGGTCATAAAATAAAATAAAATAAAATAAAATAAAATAAAATAAAATAAAATAAAATAAATGGCAAGTTGCAGAAATGGAAATTGAGAGTTATCCTCACAGGTACAGAGCTTTTAGACCTTACCTCTTCCAATTCTGCATTTGAATCCTTGTGTCTCCATCATTTGTGGCTCACAGTTAGGGAAGCCACCTCTCCCTCTCTACCTTTTCCTCCTTGAATAGGTTCTAGTCTTTAACACCTCCATGGCAAGGAGATACAACTTGTGGCACATTATGCTAAAAAATGGAAATAACTTTTTTAATGTTTGTGGGGGGTGCTATTGGGTGAAGTGTTATTTCAGGTTGGGTTTTCAGGATTTATTGAAAATTCTACATGTCCATTTATCCTCTGGTGTAGGGACTGGCCTGTTTTTCCAATTTAGAGTGCTGATGGGCATTGATGACATTGTATGGCATAAATCATATTGGATGATGAACACGTGAATATTATGGTTGATGCCATTAGGTCTTGTGATGACATTTCCTGGACAAATGTGTGGCCAGAGTTGGCATCTGGGTTTGTGGCAAGGCTTAGTACCTGTTTCCCCATCTGTGTCATGTGTCTTCTTGTGGGTGAGCACCTGTTTGAGGCTTGGAGGCTGTTTGTAGGCAAGTAAAGGTCTGCCACCAGAGCCCTTGAAAGAGTAGTATTATTGTCCAGAATGGGTGATAGTTTATTGATGATATGCCTGAGAGGTCCCAGTTGGGAGCTGTATCTGACCAATAGTGGGGTTCTGTCATTTTCTCTCTTCAAATTGGGCTGTAATAAATAAATCTTGGAGACAAGTCTTGCTTTGTTTATTTGGGTTTTTTACTTCATATGGTGGGTACTGTAGTCTGAGGAATGCTTGTTGTAATTCTTTGAGTTTGGCATTCCTGTCTTGTGGGTTTGAGCAAATGCGATTGTATTGGAGGACTTGACTGTAGACTATGGATCTGGTGGTGTATTTAGGATGGAAACTGGAGCCATGTAAGTATGTATAGCAGTCTGTGGGTTTGCAACATAGTGTGGTGTTTAGATGTCCATTTTGTAGCTGCACTGTGGTGTCCAGAAAGTGAATTTGTTCCATAGATAGTTCCAGGCTGAGTTTGATTCTGGGGTGGAAGTTGTTGAAACTGGTAAAATGTCTTGAGTGAGTCTTCTCCATGAGTCCAAATTATGAAGATATCATCAATATATCTCAGGTAGATGAGTGGTTTCTGGGTGCAGAAGTTAAGGAAACGTTGTTCTAGCTTGGCCATGCAGATATTGGCATATCGTGGTACCATGTGTATGCCTATGGTGGTGCCATTAACTTGGAGGTATATGTTGTTATCAAAGGTGAAATAATTGTGAGTACAAAGTGGCAGATCTTGGTGGCTAGGTCTGATAAGTTCCCATCTTCAATGATGTTCCTGATGGCTTGTATTCCATCTTTGTGTAGGATGTTGATGTACAGGGGTTCCACATCCATAATGGCCAAGCTGGTGTCTCTTGGAAGGTTGTGGATGGATTGTATCTTCTATAGGAAGTCCATGGTGTCCTTCACATAGCTGGGAGTATTACTGGCATATGGTTTTAGGATATTGTCCATATATTTGGAGGTACTGACTGTAAGTGTTCTAATGTTGGTCATCCAGGGTTGCCTTGTTTATGTATTTTGGTTAATAGGTAGAATGTGCCTGGTCAGGACTCCTGGGGTGTGTCAATAAGAATTGGTTTTGCACCTCCATGGGGAATTCCCCTGAGCAGCCTGTGTAATTCCTTCTGTGGGATCGTTAGATAGGACTCTGTAAAATGTGGCATTGGACAGTTGCCTCTCAGCCTCCTATATGTAGGCAGATCTGTCTATGATAACTACCACTCCTCCTTTATCAGCCTCTTTGATAACAATATTGGGATTGATATTGAGACTGTATATAGCATCTTGTTCTTTGAGACTGAGATTCTGTTGTAAGTTGCATCTCTTGTTGATCATTTCTGTTTGGGTATGGTAGTGGAAACATTCTATGGGCTCATTTGCACTACAAAATAGCCTGGTGTGGAAACCTGGTTACTTTGCGATCAAATCTCTCTAGGGCCATTTACTCCCCTTTTATTCCTCTTTGTCATTCACACTTGAATGGGGGAGAGGAAAAACGGCTGGCAAGGACAGCTGCCACGGAGAGAGGAAGAGGAGAGAGGAAAGAAAAGGCAAACTCCTTCTGAACAAACCTTGCTAAGTT